ATTCTTGCTTGATGCTTTCCACCAACTGATCTGAATTCTGGACCATCTCCTCTATGGTTCCACCAATCATATCAGTTGATGGTTGCTCTGTTGCAATCCAGTCAATCGACCTTTCTTCTGATGCATTGTAAGTGGTCTTTTCATCACTAGTTGTCTCGAAGGCATCATTGTGCATTGGCTCTCCAACTGCTATACAGTCCTCCAATAAAGGCACCTCGGCTGTAGACTGTGCTTCGCCAACATTATCAAATGTTGCTGTTTCTTCCTCTTCCCCAAGACTCTGAAAGTCTTCTATAGATTCTCCTTCACTGGTAGAAACCGTCCATGGCTCTTTGTCTACATCGCTTTTTACACCCTCATCATCCCAACTTTCCACCTTCACCTCTTCATGCTCCTCTTCTTGCAAAAGTATGCCACTCTTTACTTGCTGAATTTGATCCTCTCTGGACTTGTTTTTTATTTTCTCAAGGAGGCTACAGGTAAACTCTCTTACCTCAGACAGGAGCAGCTCCTGATGTTCCTGTGTCTCCGTCTGCCTTTCGCTCAAGGTTTCGCTTTCCTTTTCGTCTTCATACAGCGTTTCCAGCTTGTGATCTGCTCGATCCTTGTCCAGTTCTTTCAATGTTCCTCCAAGCTCTTCAGCTTCGTTTCGAAGTTCTGGAACTTGTGTTTGTGTTGTCGTTGGCAGTTCAACTGTTACCTGTAGCTCAGGCATTGTTAGTTTGGCGGTTATGTCCACTTCTTCTTCCTCCATCTCTCCAGCATTTAACTCATTTTGTAGAACCACTGTCTCTTGGCCAACTTGGTCCTCTACATCTTCCATATTATCCTCTTCCTCTGTTTTATGAATGATCACATCTGTTGAGGGCATTGCGTTGCTTTCTCCGCCATCATCATCTCCAATGTTGATATCCTCGTCCACCTCTTCGGCCAGTTCAACCTCATCTTCCTCCTCCTCTTCCTCTCCAGTCCTCCGATCTTCCATCTCCATGCACGACCCTACAGGACTGTGGATGACAGCTCTGTTAGAAATCTCCATGTTGATACTCATATCGTTTTTGGCCTGGGCCATAATTCAAACTTAGAAGAGTGTTTAGAGTTCACTATGACTGTGTAGAACTTGTAGAACTAGCACACCAAAGCTCTTCTGTCTACTTCTGCAGTCTATGTTCTGTAAAGCTAACTAGGACTTATTCTCTCTCCCACCCTTTTTCCTCTGGAGGATTATGGTCAATTTCACATTCTGAACCCCACATGACTTGCCTGCCCTCTCAAATCCGCTCCAATGGGAGTCTGGTCAGCTCAAGATGATCGGTTTAAGGGTAGGGCAGGTATTTAAAGTAGTGAATTGGAATTCTCCATCTTGTTTGCTACCTTAGATGAACTGAAAAACTATATATATATATATATACTTTAAATATAATATATACTTTCTGAACTTTTTTCAAAAAATGTATTTTTTTTCGTATTTAAAGTAGTGAATTGGAATTCTCCATCTTGTTTGCTACCTTAGATGAACTGAAAAACTATATATATATATATATACTTTAAATATAATATATACTTTCTGAACTTTTTTCAAAACATTTATTTTTTTTATTTTTTAAGTATTTTTCAGGGAAACTTTGCTTTACTGAAATTTCTATTTCCATTTTATTTTAAAGTACATTTTAATTCATTACATTTAAACATTGTGTTTCGCTTTAAAGAAGTACACTTTTTTACATTTTCATTTCATTGCAAATAACGTGCAATTAAGTGTCCAAAAACATACCATTTAGTTTGCAAATAAGTATAGTCTTTTATACTATATTCATTAGTACCCTTTTTAAAAGTATGCCAAAGTGTGCTTCTTTTTCGCAAAGATGGATGGATGGATAGATAGATAGATGGATGGATGGATGGATGGATGGATGGATGGATAGACGGATGGATAGACGGATGGATAGATGGATAGACGGATAGACGGATAGACAGATGGATGGATGGATGGATGGATGGATGGATGGATGGATGGATGGATGGATGGATGGATAGACGGATGGATAGATAGATAGATAGATAGATAGATAGATAGATAGATAGATAGATAGATAGATAGATAGATAGATAGATAGATAGATAGATAGATAGATAGATAGATAGATAGATATTCTTATTGATTGCAATTAATTAAGACAATTTTAGTGTAAACCCAGTATCAAAATACAATTTGGCTGTTTTTCCAAGCAGTGCATTTAATGAGCTGTATCATGTGCATTACAAATCTGACCAAAAGAGGGCACTCAAAGACCACTTAACTGTGACAATCTCTGCCTTAATCACATTTAAAATACAAGCACTCTACACTTTACACAAACCTAACCATGTATTCCGGTGACTCCTGCGCTTTTTGTTACATTTTGAACAATCTATATCATTTTCGCAAGGGATACTTACATCAATGCTTCACGCACAGCGCTCGTGCGTAAGCGGAAACCATGACGTCATATCTGCTGTTTTGGCCCCCAGTGCAGGCTGTCGCAAGTGTAGACGTCATTTTCGTTTCAGGAATACATCACGGTTTTGCTAGTAACACTATGCAGCACATTTCATGTGCACTAGCTTTGCACGAGCAGTAGCGTGTGTCAGCTTGAGGGTTTGGAGACGCTGCTTTTGCAGAAGGTAGAAAGCAGAGCATGACGCCATGAGCTGAGTGCTGAAACGTTTGAGATCAAAGGCACCGCAGTTGAGATCAAAGGCACCGAACGCCGCGGTTACATCTGTTGCCATGCAGCAGTCGGAGAGCGGCGGAGGGGCGGCGACTTCTGAAGTCCAGCTCAACGACCAACCCAACGCGCTCATCGCGTGTAAAGTGCCAGAAGAGGTTTTTAATGAGCTTTCAGTTCTTGCTTTCCCTGGGAATTGAACCCATGACCTTGGTGAAAATTACTTGAAATTCAAAATAAATTTTTAACTAGAAAATCAAAGATTGTCAAGATTGTTGGCTTGATGGATAACTAAAAATTTGCGTTTAGTTTGTATAAGCTATTTCATCATATTTAATAAATTTACTTTTGTGGATCAGGGTGAAAAAACACATACTTTCTCAGAATGCATTGCACGTGTTACATTTCTTTCAATCGCAATTTAGATTTGAAATTAGGGAAGTAGAAATAAAATCATTTCAAATTTAAAAGTAATTCATATAAATTACTTTTAACTACAAAAGCAAAGAAGGTCAAGAAGACTGTTGGCTTCACAAAGCCTTGTTTAAACGTGTTTGGGGAAAAAATTCTTTTTCGCTTTTTCGCAAAGATGGATGGATGGATAGATAGATAGATGGATGGATGGATGGATGGATGGATGGATGGATGGATAGACGGATGGATGGATGGATGGATGGATAGACGGATGGATAGATAGAT